CACCATGCCTAATTTTTGTATCTTTAGTGGAAACGAGGTTTCACCATGTTGGCTAGGCTGGTCTTGAACTTCTGACCTTGTAATCTGCCCGCCTCAGCCTCCCAAAGTGCTGGGATTACAGGTGTGAGCCACTGCGCCTGGCCCATGAACGTATACCCTTATTAAGAGTATAAGAGTATACAAGGTATAAGCATCTAATAGAACTCATTAAAGACCTTCATCATTCGAGCATGTAAGGCAGGAAGTCAGCTGTAAGTCAATCTGGTGATGTAGACCCAAGCACGAGTAGGCATAACGCTGTGAGAGTCCAGGAGTGTTTGGAGGCCAAGGTGGGCGGAGTCAGCTGAGTCTCGTTTAAGACGAGGTCGTGGCCCTACTCAAGAAATTACTAAAAGAATTGGCTGGGTTGTCGTGCATGCCTGGTAATCCCAGCGTGACTGTGGTAGAGGCTGTGTGAGGGGCAGGGAGATCTCTTAATAACCTGGGAGGCAGAGGTTGCACTGAACCGAGATGCACAGCCAGTGTACTCCAGGCCTGGGGGACGGCCACTCCGTTGTCGCAGAAAAGAAAAAAAAATCTATTGTTAGCGCATCTTTTCGCCAAATCAAACTGCTTCTTCAGCGTTAATCATGCTTTAGAAATAGCCAACAGGCGGATCGGGTGTTCGTGGCTCATGCCTGTAATCCCAGCACTTTGGGAGGCTGAGGTGGGCAGATCACAAGCGTCAGGAGACGAGACATCGCTGGCTACCGACGGGTGAGACCCCGTCTCTTACTAAAAAAAAATTAGACCCAGGCGGTGGGCAGGTTGCACCTGTGTAGTCCAGGCTGCGGGCGAGGCTGGAGGCAGGGAGGAAGTGTGTGAACCCGGTGAGGGAGCAGCTTGCAGTGAGCGAGAATCACCACGCAGCTGCGACTTCCAGCCTGGGGCAACAGGAGCGAGAGCTCCGTCCTCAAAAAAGAAAGAGAAAAGAAAGAAGGTAACCCAATCAGGCTTTCCAAAGTTAGTAACAGTTGAATTGGTATAAGCAATATGAATTTTATTTAATATAATAATGGACAACCCCTTCTTGGAAGGTGTTAAGGACAACTGTCACATGTATGTCAACACAAGTGAAAGAAACATAAGAACATTCTCTAGGAAAATGTATGCAAAGCAAAAATGGACACGGTAGTTCTTCACGTGTCTTCCAGTGTGACTTCATTGCTTCTCCTATCCAGAGGCGGAGTCCATTTCAATTTCCCTTGAACCTGGGCTAGCTTTGTGACTTGCTCAGACTAACGGGATGCAGTGAAAGTGAGGTTCTTCTTTTTTTTGTTTTTTGTTTTGTTTTGTTTTGTTTTTGAGACAGAGTCTCACTATGTCACCCAGGCTGGAGTGCAGTGACGCAATCTCGGCTCACTGCAACCTCCGCCTCCCGGGTTCAAGCTATTCTCCTGCCTCAGCCTCCTGAGCAGCTGAGATTACAGGTGTGCACCACCACACCCAGATAATTTTTGTATTTTTAGTAGAGACAGGGTTTCACCATGTTGGTCAGGCTGGTCTCGAACTCCTGACCTCTATGAATTTGCCCAGATGAAAACAATAGAGGAACCACCATGCAAACCATAGAATCAAAAGAAATAATACATCATGGTTGTTTTAGACTGCTAAATACTTAGTATGATTTGTTGTGTAGGAATAGATGGCTGGAACACATTCGTATGAATAAGTGGTAGCAAAATATGTGAAACCACACACACTGAGGCATGTTACATAGCTCAGAAAGTCGCAACAGAATGACAGATGAACACTGAAGTTCCAGGGAATAATCTGCATAGAATAAAGCCGCATGGAATGATGACAAGAATCTAGAAAAGAAAATAGAGGCCGGGCGTGGTGGCTCACGCCTGTAATCCCAGCCCTTTGGGAGGCCAAGGCAGG